ATATATATCTCTCTCTCTCTCTCTCTCTCTCTCTCTCTCTCTCTCTCTCTCTCTCTCTCTCTCTCTCGTTTTCTCCCTTCCTTTCTCACTCCCTTCCTTTCTACTTGTCCGTGTATAGCGCAGCATCCACTGTCGAATGCGCAAACTCTGTATCTGCAGCATCTCTCAGAAGGGATGATCTGTCACTCAGTATTGAAAATTCGTACATGTGAGTATAACGACGTTCATAGCAGTTCATAACGAAGTAATCTCACTGTAGATTTAAATCTCACTGTAGGTTTAAAATCGTGAACAAGCGGACAAATTAACATTACAAAAATTACTACGATCATCGAATGGGATAAGCGTAAACGATCGCGTTGTTTTACCTCCGCTCGGGTTAAAAAAAAGTCGTGTAACGTTCGATTTGCACCACCGATGGCAGATCACGACAATATTTACGACGACGAGGTAATCAATTTCATTATTTATAAATTTCTATCATAAATCATGTGTGAAATTTTCATAAAATTTTATTAACTTTATGTAAAACATGTTTATTTGTTTTTTGATTTCTGAATATATAAGAGATTCAATATATTTAACGACAAAATAAATAAGAAATTTAATTTCCCTGTAAACAGTGAACTAAATATTTAAAAATTTTGCTAGAAATTTTATATATAATAATTCATAGATATAAATACGATTAATTCTTCTTCTATATATCCTAGAATTGATATAAAATAATTATTTGTATTTAGAAATTATGTTTAGATAATTTGATCTTATAATCTGTCTCAATTATAAAAAAATTATATAATATAATATAATTATAATACATACATACATTAATTACAAAATATTTTAATTTATGCATTGAAAATATTATATTATTAAAATAATATAATATATATAATATAATTTTATCAAAATAATATTTGTCAAGAAAATTTTTATTTAATTAAGACACTTCATTAACAATAATATACATAATATAGCTTATTTGATTGATGAATATTTGCTTGAATTTGATCCGGTAAAATATTTTGATTAAAGGAATATAAAATAATACAATATTGATTATTACCAATAAATATAAATAATATTGCAACAATAATAAAGTAAGAAATTGTCATCTAATAATTTAATATGTGAATTACTGTATAATAATTTTAATAAGTTAAGCATACACGTGTAATATTTGCAAAAGATTAACTCTGTATTAAAGTTCACAGTTTTAAGAGCGCGACATACATCGATACGCATTTTCCTAACACACTGATGCATTCAGCGCAGTATATATCGCCTCACTATTGATTTTAGTTACAGCAGCTGACTAGCTATTCTCACTATGAAATACAAAGCTGTAATTGCTTTGTCAATATAGGCTAGTATCACAATATCAATAATTTTCAATTTTCAGACACTATCAATTCTTTTTTAAATAAAACCAAAAAGAAAACCAAAACCAAAAATCAAAATAATGCAATAAACATATTTGTAAACAAATTCAACCAAATACAACAAATTCAACCAAAAACAATTTCGATTATAACATAATTTCTATTCATGAAATTTTTACAACACATTATGTTGTCAATCAAAAAGATAACATAATTCACAAAATTAATTTATTTCTTGTGTAATATAAATAAAAATATTATAAAAATATATTAAAAATCTTTCATTATAATTACAATTTTAACATTTAAAACAGATATCAATTATTCATTTATTCTTCATTTTCAATCATCTATTTTTTATCTTTATTTTCTTTTATTTATTTTTAAAACATCTTTAAAACATTAATTTTACGTAATTTTATGTATCTTTTTAGACTTTTTATTATTTTGGTGATATCTCTCAACGCAAAGAAGTAATAATGATATTATTTAAATTTTGTAAAGTACAATACAAGATATTTTAATTGTAAAATTAAATTACAAAATTTTAAATATAAATGTTAAAAAAGAGATAAGTATTATATTTTGTATATTTATATATTTTATTTATATTGTATTTTATTTAATATTTTAATAAATTATTTCTTATCATGGAATGGAAACTTACGTTTATTTTTAACTATACAATATTTTGACACAATATTTTACATAAAGTTACAACGAAAAATAATGATAACACAATATAATTCTCATTGTTTGACATTTAGTAATGTTAGGCCAGGCGGTTTTTCGCGCATGCGCATTTGAGTATAGCATCATTGCTGTACTAAAATTATACTTTTAAGGGTTCTGTAGAGACTTTATTTTGATATTCATACAATTATCTGAGAAAGTTGAAAAAGATTAAATATGAGCAAAAGAAAATGTCAATTTAATGATAAATACATTTATTTCTTTTTATTTATAATATAAAGCATGATATACATTTATATCATGATATAATGATAATAAGTTTCAATAATAACGCTTTACTAATGTTAATTCACATTGAGCTTGTCATTTCTATTATTTACTTTTTTTTTTAATGTTGGTCTCTAATAAGAATTAACAATGATAAAAGACTATATATATTTTTTGACATTACAGCATTCCGCCAAAACTATACGTGTATGGTACATCATATGTCCCTGGATTTCTCCCACTTTCTAGTGCACATGCGCGAAAAACTGCCCGGCCTAACATCACTGTTGACATTAGCGTTAGTAAAGACCTTTGTGATAGGAGCTAGTTTCAACTAATCCAAATCAAAGGAATTGGCGTGGAATTTTAATAGCGTTGCTCGTAATCGTTGCGGTCCTAGCCCTTATTGTCACATCCGTTGCTTTGCTCACGCCTCCTGATGATGGCCCCAGAGTACGAGGAACACGATTGCGTCTCTCTGAAGTAAGTGATTGATAATATTAATGCTTATAATTAAGATGATCTGAGAAAAAAAAAGTGTGACAAAATAGTTATATTTCAAATCCAAAATATAGAATAATTATTTCCTTGAAAAATTGTGTTTTTTTTATATAAGTTTTTTTAAATTAAACAATACATTCACACCAGTCGAGTACATGTTAACAAACGACAGCAAGTAACAGCCGATTTCTCGGCAAGCAGATTGGATCTTGGTTGTTAAATCTTTTTGTATGAAATAAATTCAAATAATCATATCACCAACTATGTGCCATTAGATTAACAGACTTTCAACGTAGTGATTCTATAATAATTCGTTAATCAATATTCTTGTATATCGATTAAAATTCCTTTTATTATCCTCCCTCCTTCGCCCGTGACGCACACCCTTTTTACTTATATCTTTTTACTTATATCATCTAAAATATTAAAAAAAAAAAAAACGTAGAAATATTTGTACACAACCTGTGAATCATCTCAATGATTATGTGCAATATATAAGATAGATATATAAAATGTCAAAATATGCTACTTTCACGAATGACCCGTTCACGAAAAAATAAATGTAAATGAAAGATTAATCATCAATCACCAATTAGCATCCCAAAAAAAGGAAATAATCAACTTTGAGTGTCGAATATATGAAGTATCGAATAATGTGCCTTTTTTAAAAACAGTAAAATAAAATTGACTCAAGAAATATATTCTTGCTTTTAGGTGCTGTCTGGGGAATTATCTCCTTTATTATTCAATGGATCCTGGGCGAGTAATCACCATATATGTTATCGAGATCTGTGGGGTGGAATCTCCTTATTAGACGTTTCTAAGATTGAGTCACGTAGTTTAATGCCAAATGAAACATTTGTAAGTTTGTCTAAAAATTTAATAAATTATATTATTTCTTATTTGTTTGTAAGATATAAATATTAAATATTAAATACTTTTATATAGAGACGATTAAATCCAGCAAAATTCTCGTTATCGCCAGATCATAAATTTCTGCTCCTTGCTCAAAATGTGAAAAAATTGTTTCGTTACTCGTACTTAGCGCAATATGTCATTTATGATCTCACTACACGGTCAGTATAATTTATCTACATTGATAACATATGATCACTAACAAACCTATTAATGTAGAAATTTTCACTAATTTTTGTAGAGAATGTATAGTGTTGACGCCTTATCCTGAGAAAGATGTTCATCCCTATCTTTTATTAGCGCAATGGACTCCACGTGGACACGGACTTGTCATGGTACAGGATTATGACATCTATTACAGGACAAGTCCTATGAGCAATACTGGATACCGTGTAACAAACACTGCGGTACCTGGTATATTATCCAATGGTGTTCCAGATTGGCTGTATGAAGGTAAGATATTTAGTTACCAATTTATCTAGCTTATATATAATTCAAAAGAAAGAAATAAAAGATATTATTAATTAAGATTTTAAGGACAGTTAATTATTAAGCATGTTTAAGAAGAAAGAATGTGATATTATGTGTATTATACACTATCATCTATTAGTAAGATCACTTTTTTTATTTTTATTTTTATAAACTATAATATTACAAGAAATTTTAAAAAAGAATTGGTACACACAATATTCATTGTTTAATTTCTATTATAAATATTAACAATAAAAAAGAGTATATTTATTAAGAGACTAAATTTTCTTGTAAAACAAAAGCTATACAGTTTTGTATTACATATATAATAATACATGTAATGTTAGGACAAAAGAATGATAAGAGATTTATGAGGGACTTACTACTGGGCCATCAATTATCACTTATTAAAATTTAAATAATTATCGTTTATACAACTAAAATTTGTTTTCTTTAGTAAAATATGACAGCTGAAAGTTTAGGGTATTAATTTGCAAAATATATATTTGACTTTTATATTTTTTTGATAATACATAAAAAGATCATAATTGACAATCTTAAATGATTTAGAAGTAGAACAGTTTATCTGACATGTTATCTGAAATAAAAAGTTCATTATATTATTATTATTTATAGAGGAAATATTGCATAGTGGAGAAGCAATCTGGATGTCGCCAGATGGTCATATGATACTTTATGCCTCGTTCAATGATTCTCTCGTAGAAGAAATGCACATTTCATGGTTTGGAGAGGGGAACAAAGCTTTGTATCCTGATATACGATCTCTACGATACCCTAAGGTAATACGTAATATGTTTAAGAAATCAAGAATATTTTATTAAAAATATTTTTATTTTGGTTCTGTTTCATTGACAAAAAAAGAGGGAACTGTTTTAAAAGTTTTGTTTTATTTGTTAGCCAGGAACACCAAATCCTTCTGTACGGTTGTATGTTGCTGATTTAGTTGAGCCAAAAAGTATTCGTACGAAAATAGTGAAACCACCTCCAATCATCGAAAATGTGTGAGTTTATTAATCTAATTCAGAGAATAAATACTTATTCTTTTATTAATTTCCTTAATTAATGATAATTTTGCAAGTTTATACTTCATTATTTTTATCTTACAAACTACTTTTCTTATCGTAAAGATTGTACTTTTCTTAACTTTAACCTTTTAATTTTAGTGCTTAAGCACTAACTCATACAGAATCCATAATCTGTTAGTTTTAACTTTAAGAAATAAAGAGCAATTGATAATAATCTGAAATTGTTATCAATCACATTCTATAGATAATCACTTTAGTATATTCTTATAAATTCTTATAGTTACAATCTACTTGAAGGAAGATTCGTTAAGTTAACTTAAAGAGTGTGTATGATATGTGGTGTGGTGCGCGCGCGCGCGTATGATGTGCGCATGCATGGGTGTGTGTGTGTGCGCGCGCGTATGTGTGCGCATGCGCGTGTGTGATGCGCGTGTGTGCGCGCATGCATGTGATGTGTGCGCGCGCGCGTGATGTGCGCATGCGCGTGATGTGCGCATGCGCGTGTGTGGTGCACGATGTGTGCGCATGCATGTGGTGTGTGCGCGCGCGCGTGATGTGCGCATGCGCGTGTATGCTGCGCGTATGTGTGCGCATGCATGTGGTGTGTGTGCGCGCGCGTGATGTGCGCATGCGCGTGTATGCTGCGCGTATGTGGTGCATGCGTGTAGTGTGCGCGTGCGCATGGTGTAGTGCGCGTGGTGCGTCGCCAAAAAATTTTATAAAATTGCATTATTAACTGCGATGTTTCTTGTTGAAAATGTGTTGTACAAAAGGGAGGATGAGATTTACGTAAAATGATCCTGTTAATATTAATTTCTTCAGTCTTTTTTTATAGATAACTTTATGTAATATTTTTGCTAATTAGCGCCGTTTTTTGATATAATTACTCTTACATAGAAATGTATTTAATATCATTTTGTAGAAACTATATTATTGGTAACAATTTTTTATAATTTTTATATTAATGTATTTGATAAGATATAATTTTTTTTATGAGAAACATACTTGGTGCCTTTTTTATCTTTTTCTAAAAAGAAATTTTTTTTAATAATTCAATTATTAGTTATTTGACATAACTTTCAAATGCGTTTCTATCTTTTTTATTAGGGATCATTACTTCTCGACCGTTTCCTGGGTATCTCTAACAGAAGTCTGTATAACATGGTTAACGCGCGCTCAAAATTTCTCAATAATTACCATCTGTAAAAGCCCAATGTGGCATTGTCAGGTTTGTGAGCGCTCTCTCATTTCAAATATGAAATTATAACATTTTTATTATAACATTATAACATTCTTTGTACTATGAAATATTCTTTTTAATAATTCCCTTCTCCACTTTAAAACTATATTTTACTTGTTTCTATTTTATAAATATAATAAACTTCTAAACGGATCTCTTTTTTAAATTCTAAATTTAATATGGCTTTAATTATTTATTTTTAAGAATAGATTAGCCTGTATATATAAAAAAATAAATATGTTCAAATTATATATTTTAAAATAATTTATTTTAGGAAATACAAAGAATATTGGGTGATGGTCATGGATGGGTAGATACTCCCCCGGAAGCTCCTATTTTCTCAGCCAATGGTAGTACTTACATCGCAATAAGTCCCGTAAAAGACGGACCGGCAGGATATTACAAGCACATAATCTGGGCTAACGTGCTTCGGAAACAAATAGTGCCTTTGACACATGGGAAATTTGAAGTCGTTAGGATTTTAGTATGGGACCAAGTGAATAATACTATGTGAGCAAGTAAACTTAAATAAAATTATAATAATAATAAAATTCACATTTTAACATCTTACAATAATTTACGTTTTAATCAGATATTTCATCGGCATTCCATTTATGAGACCGGGTCAGAGACATCTTTATCGTGTAAGCTCTACTCTTCCTCGTATGGGATCGCCTTTACGCCCTGCTATATGTCTCACATGCACCACTTCATCTGATATAATAAATAATGGTGAAAGTGAACATAGAACTAGTTCTTCAAATTGGGAGAATGGTCTTACCAATCGAAATGAATGGCATGAACACTATGAAATTCAAATTGATAATATCAACAATAAGGAACATCGCCAAGCGAAGGACATTTCCAAAAAGGACAAATTAAGAAATAGGAATGTATTAAGTAAGTTCCAATATTATCTTTCTTATTTTATTTTGTTTTTTTAAAGATTTATAAGTTATAATATTTATAAGTTATAATATTTTTTAATGGAAAAAAATATTATGCATTAAATAAAGATATTAATTAAAACATTTATTTTAAATCACAATGTGTCAATTGTAGTTACATTGCAGTTTAATATAAGAATATAAATATTAAATATGTTACATCGAAAGATTGTGTCTACAATTTTATAACTTAAAAGAAAAGAAATTACTTTTCTAAATAAGAAAAATATATTCATAATAATCTCCTTAAATCTTATTTTTTATTTTAAAAATAAAATCGACTATTTAGAATCAATGAAAATTGCATTTTTTAAGTGTTTAAAAATCTGTCTTTTAAATTTTTTGTGATTTTGCAAATTTAAAATAAAAAGTTTTATTATTTTTATTAGTAATTGAATAAAGAATATTAGAAAAGTAAATCTTTATTTAATGTGATTTCGTTTTAGTATTAAAAAAAGTAATGAAAAATGTAATGAATTGCTCCTTTTTCAGTAACGATATCAATCACAAGCTATTTTTCAGAATCAGTAACTAATAACAATAATTAGTTATTTTTTTAACTTATGGTAATGAACAATGGTAATGACTTACTTTTAGAAAGTTAACTTTTCCAACCTCCTCTTTTAATCTTGTTTACCATATTGTGCAATATACAAAAAGATATGTTACATAATATAAAAAAACATTAATAATTTTAAAATCTCAACAAGAATAACTTTGAAGGTGTTCTATCTAATTTCAAAATATTCCTTTTGAATTGAATAATTATCCTCAAAATATTTGCTCTGCTTATGTTCTAGTCTCACAAAAAATGAGAATATTTTGAAATAATGAAGGTAACGATAAATAATCATCGTGTATATTAAAATTAAAATTGCATAAATTATTTAAATTGCATAAATTTTCTAAAGAATTATGATAATCAGAACGAAATATTTTAGATCTCTTATTTTGACACATATTTTGATATAAAATTTAAGAAATATAATTAAACCTTTATTTTTTAATTATTGTATTTTAACATATAAATTTTATATATAAAATAATTTGATTAATATACAAAAAACATATGATTACATATGATTAGTATATAGATATACATATAATTTAAATGCAGTACTAAAAAAAATTACGTACATTAATTACTTTATCTTACTAGTCTATATAATGGATATATACAATGGATATATGCATGTACATGTATACGTATATGCACACGCATATAATAATTGTATAATATAATGTTGTATATAATGTAAATAGTTACTTTGCCATATGTCCAATAAGCACGCACAATTCTATTACTTGATTCCCTTATGTTTTGTATTTCTAGAAAGCGGTGACCCTCCTTGTCAGTATCACAATGTTATCTTCCCATCCGACGGCTTTGAGTATTTCGTTCTTGAGTGCCTTGGACCTGGTATACCTACCGTGTCTCTTTATAAGATGGAAATGTCTATGCCGCGACTCATCGCAACATTGCAGAACAACACATTGTTGCGTGTATGTTTCTAATTAAATTACACATTTTAGATTACAAAATCATTATCAAATACCGTTTTTTTTTCTCATCAATCAATGTTTTTCAAAATAAAACAATCAATCAATTTTTTTGCTTTAATATACGACATGATATATGGGTGTCTCATTTTAAAAAACCTATTGAAATATCTCTTTAAAAAAGCATTTTAGAGAAAAACATTTTAAACAAAAGGTGTAAAATTCAAAAAGGGATATACAATGATGACCTTGTTTTTGTCACAGATGTCCCCCTCTGAACCCTACAACTTTTGTCTAAAATGTTTTTCTCTGAAATGCTTTTCTAAAAAAATATTTTAATAAGTTTTTTAAAATGGGACACTCTCTATATCTTTATAAATATTTATTATAGGAAAAAATAACAAGCATCGCTCTTCCGCAAATAAAAACATTTCCTGTGCAAATAAGTGGCGGCTACAACGCTCAAGTGAGATTGCATCTACCACCCGGATTGAGAGAAGATGAGATTACCCGTTATCCGTTGGTCGTCCAGGTGTAAGTATAATAATAATATATTTTAATCTTTCATTTCCAAAATAGAAAAAAGTTTAGGTAAAAACTAATTAGAAATTAAAAAAACTGGCCAATTTCTATTGTTTTGGATTTCTTAAGTAGTAACACAATTAAGAAAAAAATCATGTTTACATAGAATTATTAGTCAGAAAATACATAATTTTATTTATTAATAAATGGCATTATTAACGAGAACATTTTCTGTCTAATAAAATAATTAGTCAAAAAGTAGTCAGGTCAAACGAATTAATCTTCGATATTTTGAACTGGCAATTCGCTATTTTTCTTCTTTATTAGAACGATCAATGACACGTATTCTGACGTACTTTCTCTGATAATACTCGTTGCAAATAATTCATCCAAGATATTGCAAGAATTTAGCTTTTTCATTGAACGGAAACCTACATGGCGCACAAAAAAAACAATTTGTAAAGTTAAGTTCTATTCTATTTTTTTACATTCGGTTTTATTGGACTTATCGCGTTAATATAATCTCTTTTAAATAAGTTTCATACGCTCATTCTCATCTCGGTCAGCGGATTTTTTGTTAATTCGTATGTGTGATATTATTGCACGATCGATATCTCTGTCTACCTCGATCTTCATATCAGAAATTTCCCTCCTGACGACTAATGACAATTTTATTAACTTCACGTTTCAAAACTATTTGCTTAGTTCTATTTGATACATGAAATGTAACGTTGTTTACCATCTAGAACATATATATTGCTTCTACATACCCTATTCTTATCCACTGCTATTCATTCCATAAAAACAATCATCTTTAGACTCGAACTTAATATATGTTAGTGTCGGTCCACAATAGGTGATTTAAGCTTTAAGAAGTAAGAAATTGACCAATCATAGTCGATTATATTATTTCTTTTTCACATTCGATTATAATTGATCAATTTCTTACGTCTTAAAGCTTAAATCACCTATTGTGGACCGACATGTCTCTTCGGAACATAATGGTCTTTAAAACATAAAAAATTTTGAATTTCCCGGGTTGATTAGCGTTTATTTTAATGTGACAATCCTTGTTCTGCTAGCGTAGCTTTATTGACCATCAAAAAATCGTTGTCTTCTCGTCTTCCTCGCATCAAGCGATATAATTTTTTAGACAGGAAAGTTTATCGAATTGAGTAATTTTTTTATAAGTGATTATATAAATATATTTAATAATAAATATAGTAATGTTTAATCTTTCATTAAGAAAACATAAAACTTTTCATAAAATTTTATATGTGAACAAATATTTGTTTAAATGCAACAGTATTTCTTTTTACAGATATGGTGCTCCTGGATCACAACTAGTCACTGAGATGTTTAAAATAGATTGGAATACATATTTAGCTAGTCAGAAAAATATTATTGTTGCACAAATAGATGGCAGAGGAAGTGGAGGACAAGGTTACAAGTTGCTTCATGAAGTTTATTATAGGCTAGGTTCTGTTGAAGTGGCCGATCAACTCGAAGTTACAGAGTAAGTAAAATATTAACATATCGTTATTCGTTTTCTAAAATACCTTTCTAAAATATATTTAAAAAGCAAATATATTCCTTGTAATAAATAATTTTTCAGTTTTTACGATTATATTATCTACACGGAAAAAAATTTTTCATCGCGGCAGTTAATCATGGTTTGCTGAAACTGTATTTGCTGCTGCAGCAAAAGAAATTGCTATTGTTATTACTACATCGTTTCCTTTGCAAAGTGTACTAGTCTACTGTGATCATATTGATTACAAAATTTTGCTATTCTAGCTAACAGGTAACGCAATAAAAGTATATAGTAAATTTAATAGATAACATTTCTTATTTGCAGCTAATTCGCAATTAAAAAACGTCTTGGATATATTTCTATAACATCTCTGACACAATGTGTTGATCACATTTGAATATAATTATTCTTGTAAATCTTGTATATTATTCTTTTCAAAGAATGATTAATAAAAATTTAAAATAAGAGATATTAGTTGCCTATACAATTATAGTGAATAACATTGCAAATTGTTGCAATGCATGCTATAATAGCCACTCAAGAATTTATTATAGCTAAATGTTTGTGTTCTTATTTGTAACATTTATAGTTGAATATATTTAACATTTATATTTTATAATTGAATTTGGCTATTTGGCTAAATTTTTAAGTTTCTAAATGTTACAACAGTATGAAATATAATCACACATAGCTTCTTGCTGCTGCAACTAATTTTTTTTCCGTGTATAAAACATAAATATTGTTGTGCTCACGACCAAGAATGGCGATTGCACTCATACATTCGCATTGAGAAAAGAAAAACATCATCTTTAGTAAAAGAAATTAAATGTTTTATTTATGTTCGAAAACTAAAAAAAAAACGCGATCATAAACTTTTCTTTTTTTGACGATGATCGTTTTTCTTACTCAATAATATACTTGTCACCAGACATCCTTCTTCACTTATTATTATTCTTTGAACAAAATCGTTGAATAGGAAGAGGGCGCAACAATATATAAAATTTCTATAGAACCTGTAAAGAGAACATGTTTTTAATAAAAATTGAAAACTTGTTTTTAATAAAAATTATAATTGTCTAGATACTTAAGAGACTCATTGCATTTTGTGGATAAACGAAGAGTCGCCGTATGGGGATGGAGTTATGGTGGTTTCGTTGCTGCTCTCGTTTTGGCTCATCCGGAGCAAAAGGTATTCCAGTGCGGAATAAGCGTCGCACCTATCGTCTCCTGGGAGCTTTACGGTACTGTGAATCACACTATAAAATTATCTTTTTGATAATATAATTGAATTTATATTGAAAACTCTTTACAAAAAAATTCTGATAAGTTTATCGAAGTTTCTAAAAGTTTTAAATGTTAATATAATGATAAAGTATCTGCGACTTATGATGTTGACAAAAAATAAAATTAAAATTAAATTCTGTTAAACAACAGAAAAGAATATACTCCACTCGTCGTTGATGTTATCAGGTATACGAGCTTTTTTGAGATAAAGAGACTCTTCATTGCTTCGTATAGTTTAAGCCTTGTGGATTCGTGGACTTAAAGTCTATAAAGAGGTGGACAGTATCAACGTTGAATTCCATTCCTTTTTCTAGGATTTGCCATAGGATAAATATCTAGTCCATCGTGAACCCTGGTCGGAATCCATTTTGATATTCTTTTAATCTTTTCTATAAATGGGAGAAATTTTTCATATATGAAAATAAAAATATATGAAAATATTTTATACACTACATTTAATAGTGTAATCCCTCTGTAATTGTTGCAGTTAAATAGATTGCCTTTTTTTAAATTGGGTAACTCTTAAATGCCAGTCCTCTGGCATCTCTTTCGTCACCTATACCTCTCGATAGATTTGTTGTAACTGAAAACTTGCCCCTATATTTGAAAAAACTCCGGTATTTGATCAGTGCCGGGTACCTTACTGTTTCTTAATTTTCTTATCGGATTTTCTCGATGAGTCCTGTATGTTCTCCTATTTACTTCCTGTGCATCGTCGTCGTCGATATTCACATTAAATAATTTCATAATGCTGCTTCCACTTTTCTAGAATCACATTCTGATTGGTGAAAATGTTATCCTGCTCATACTTGCAGAAGGCAAGCTTCTTAGCTTGAATCTCTTCCTTTGTAAATTGAGTTCTTTATAAAAAATTCTCGCTTCGATTCTGCCACGCAATGTCTCCAGATTCTCCATCATCCCATTTTCATACTCTCTCTTCCTCCTCTTGTGCACTCTCTTTTCCTCTCTTCTAGACTCTCTGTACCTCTCCACGTTGGTAGCCCGAATTCTTCTATGTAACATTTGCTTGTAGGTTTCATTCTTTGTTGTTGTTGTTGCGGCACACTCCTTGTCAAATCAATCGCTTCTTTTTGGCTGTTATAAAGGTCTATTATTTCGTTATTTGTTGCTAATAGTGCCTCCTTACATCTTTCCCACCTTTCTATGGCTGACATATTTTCCTCCTCTGAAAGGCGCTGTAATACTTTTCGGAATGAGTCAGAAATACTAATATTCTCTATAAGTTTTTTTATATCAAATTTGTTTATTTTTTCTCTTTTTCTTAAGGTTTGATATAATCATCGCGCTTTAATCATTGATTGCATTTTCTTGATCAACATTTACATTTCGCGTTCTAATTATAGCAACACTAAGCAAGAAATAGATTTACTGATGCATAATTTTATTTGTGTTTATTGTTTGTATAAGTATTGATATAAAATAGTGCAGATCGACAGGGAATTCGCAGTTTTATAATTGAATTCATTCTATAAAGAATTCCCAATTGAATGAGAATGATGAATTCCCTACAAGTGAGTGATACGAGGTTTAATAAGTGAATAATTATTTTTAAAAGTTTTCATTGTTGTCTAAATTTTTATATATTTTTGATTTTACAAGTTTTTAAATTAAAATTTATAGTTATTTGTTTCATATAAATAGAATTTTTTAATAAACTATATACTCTATTGGTGTTATATATATAAGATATTTCATTTTAATCGCCCAGACAAATAACTCGAAAAGTGAAGGAGACAGAAAAAAATGGTGAATATAAAAGTTATATAGCTTTGTATAAAAGTTGTAAGGCTTTATAGAAGAATAATGATCACCTTGACCTTGATTTTGGATCCAATTTGTAAGGCCATTTCAAATCGATTTTTTAAAATGGAAACCCTGAGTTTTTAACTTCAGAAATAAAAAATAAAATTTTACGTTCAGATATGTTGTAATGTTATGGCATTAAGTTCACTTCTAGGGATCATTTAAGGGTCAAAATAAGCTTTATTCCAAAATGCGCAAAATTTCCGGGATAATTAACTCTCAAACTCTGAAATCTTAAATCTTTAACCCTAAATCCTTGAATCCCAAATCCTTATTTCCAATCCAAGAGAGAGAAGGAAAGAAAGAGAGCCTAATCATTCTGTGATTTCTGCATGTTCTTTCTCTTTCTCTCTCTCTTTCTCGCCTATTTATTCTATTTAATCTCAATGATTATTAATATAAATGATTATTACATAGATTCTGCATATGCCGAGAGATATATGGGATTACCGAACGTGACATCCAATTACAAAGGTTATGCCGAATCCAACGTTTACAACAAAGTTAGATATCTGCGTGATAAAATGTTTTACTTGGTACACGGGACTGCAGATGATAATGTCCAATTCCAACAATCCATGGCACTTGCCCGGCATCTCGCTAAAGAAGGCATACTATTTCGACAACAGGTATTTTGATTTTTTTTTAAATATATAAATTATAAATTTATTCTCTTTAGGTGTAAGGGACTCTACAAGCAATTTACTGATGTGCAAGTCAGAAATAATATTTGATTTATTTTTCATTTTAAGCGCTATTTATTAATAAATGAAATATCCTTCTTTATTCTTGATTATTACTTTATTAAGTATAATAATTAATTTGCGGAAGTATTTCGGTGATGAATGTATATCAAGAATAAGGAATAATAAAATTGATAACATAGCTCTGCTCAAAATCTATTTGCAGACTTGGCTATCGCGATTTTATTTTTATTTTAAATTATATTTATGTCTTTTTTATATTTATATTTTTATATTTTGATGTTGTTTGATGACTAAAGAAGATTTTGTTTGAAATCAAAATATTTCGTCAATTTCATATTCTCTATATATAAATAAATTTAATTTTTCAAAAAAATTTTTATTTCCTCTGCTTGTTAACCTATATTTTTGCAAATTTGAGTCTTGTTTGTAAAAATTTATAAATTATAACTTGGAAATATATACTTTTATTCACAGGTCTATCCAGATGTAAGCCATACTTTAGCTGGCGTTAAGGGACATTTGTACCACTCCATGGAACAGTTCTTAGAAGATTGCTTTCAAAAGCAAGTACCTGTCGACACGAAGGCCGGACTTGGTAGCGGTGGCTCTGGTGGCATGTATTAATATTAAGAGATAGCAATTATGTAAAATATTGCATAAAGATATCTACGAGTTGTTCAAAATTGCATGAAAATGGAAAGAAAAAAAAACAAAGAAAATTGTGAATATCTAAACATCTCCAAATTGTGTTCTGTTTAATAGAATGTTTACAAAGACTACGTGCATGACCCAACATTTTGTACTCCAATACTCGAAATTATAAAATACAATGAAGAATATGTATAATTTTCTCTATACGGTTTACAATGCGTTTGACCCATTAAAAAAGGACGTATCGATCATTTAATCAAATAAATTATTTATGAAATATGCAGATGATATTTATTTAAAGATATCTAACACTAAATAAAATCGATACAATTAACCATCGAAATAGTCGAGGATTTAGCACTACAATGACAATCTTATCATATATACACACACATTATATATATATATATATATATATATATATATATATACTATA